GAGGAGAGGCTGAGGGACTTGGGTCTGTTTAGTCTGCAGAAGCGAAGAGTGAGAGGGGATTTGATAGCAGCCTTCAACTCCCTGAAGGGAGGTTCCAAAGAGGATGGAGAGAGGCTGTTCTCAGTAGTGACACATGGCAGAACAAGGAGCAATGGTCTCAAGTTGTGGTGGGAGAGGTCCAGGTTGGAGATTAGGAAAAACTATTTCCCTAGGAGGGTGGTGAAGCACTGGAATGGGTTACCTAGGGAAGTAGTGGAGTCTCCATCCCCAGAGGTGTTTAAGTCTCGGCTTGACAAAGCCCTGGCTGGGTTGATTTAGTTGGGGTTGATCCTGCCTAGAGCAGGGGGCTGGACTTGGTGACCTTCTGAGGTCTCTTCCAGCTCTATGGTTCTATGATTCTATGATGGAAACCCCTTCAAGCTGGGGGGGCGCTGCAGAATTGCTGCCCCAGCACCTATGTCAATGCCTCTCCAAGGCCAGCGTGGGAGCAGGGGCACAAGATGACCTGCGGTTTCTGCTGCTTTTCTCCCAGGAGCAGAATGTGCAGCAGAAGCCCCTCGCTTCTCTATGCAGGGCCCCAGCCGCCCTCGCTGGACTTAGCCTGAAGAACCCTGAAGACTAAAGAACAAGTCTGGCAACCTCCCTGGCACTTTGGCCCAGGCAGCAGGGACTGGGTGCGCCCACTGAGTGCACAGCTCCTGCCCATCTCTCGTTGGACTCAAGAGCAAGGAGGGTCTAGAATGGACCCAACCGATCAGATCCCGAGGGTTCCACACTAGAGAGGTTCAATCTGAAATAACTAGACCATTCCTGACCGGCGTTTGCCTAACTTGTGCTTAAAACCCTCTAACGACGGAGTTTCCACAAGCTCCCCTAAACTGTCCCTTCTACACTAAACCACAGGGTCTAGAATGAACGACACAGGATGAAAAAAAACACAAGGTACCTGAGCTCCGTGCTATCCGCTAAGGAGATGGCTGGTTTCCTCAAGGCACTGCTGCAGGCCTGACTGTTGCTGCAGCGAAGAAAGAGGACAGATGTTCATGGCCAAATCTCCAGTCAGTCCGTTGCAGCGCATCACTCAAACCAGACAAGACCTGCATCTCGGGCCTATTCACACTACAGACAGCTGTGGAATTATAGACGCGTGGGACTGGAAGGGACCTCGGCAGGCCATTTCGTACAGTCCCCTGCCCTCAAGGCAGGAAGTGTGAGAAACGGTCTCGTTATTATAGGTTGAACCTCTCTAATTCAGAACTCTCTCATCATCCAGAATGATTTTAGTTCACCAGGAGGGGCTGTGTCTACACTGGGCCACTTATTCCGGAAAATCAGCCGCTTTTCCGGAATAAGCTGCGAGCTGTCTACACTGGCCCTTGAATTTCCGGAAAAGCAACGATGCTCTACTGTACAAAATCAGACTGCTGCAGGCCTGACTGTTGCTGCAGCGAAGAAAGAGGACAGATGTTCATGGCCAAATCTCCAGTCAGTCCGTTGCAGCGCATCACTCAAACCAGACAAGACCTGCATCTCGGGCCTATTCACACTACAGACAGCTGTGGAATTATAGACGCGTGGGACTGGAAGGGACCTCGGCAGGCCATTTCGTACAGTCCCCTGCCCTCAAGGCAGGAAGTGTGAGAAACGGTCTCGTTATTATAGGTTGAACCTCTCTAATTCAGAACTCTCTCATCATCCAGAATGATTTTAGTTCACCAGATGTCCACTTTTCAGGGGTGTGGCCAAGTTTCCCGCAGTCCCATAAAGTTTGTTTACAGCCGCTAGTCCTGGCTCTCCGGGTTCTGTGCTGTTATTTAGCTCTAATTTACCTTTAAATGTCTTCTAAGAGCCCAGTCAGCAGTGGAAGTGTTGGTCATGCTGCTAGACAATATCGACCTCCCGTGGTCCAGAAAATTCTCTTGGTCAGAAGTGGCCAGGTCCCAAGGGTTCCGGAGTAGAGAGGTTTAACCTATAATAATAACTAGACCATTCCTGACTGGCATTTGCCTAGCTTGTGCTTAAAACCCTCTCATGACTGAGTTCTCACAAAGCTCCCCTAAATTGTCCCTTCTACACTAAACCATCCTCCCCTCACAGAGTAACAGGTGACTAGAGGGTTGTTCAACAGATGTGGTCTCCTCACCTCAAAAAAGATATTTTGGCCTTGGAAAGGGTTCAGAAAAGGGCAACTAAAATGATTAGGGGTTTGGAACGGGTCCCATATGAGGAGAGGTTAAAACGACTGGGACTTTTCAGTTTAGAAAAGAGGAGACTGAGGGGGGATATGATAGAGGTCTATAAAATCATGAGTGGTGTGGAGAGGGCCGATAAAGAAAAGTTATTTATTAGTTCCCATAATAGAAGAACTAGAGGACACCAAATGAAATTAATGGGAAGCAGGTTTAAAACTAATAAAAGAAAGTTCTTCACACAGCGTGTAGTCAACCTGTGGAACTCCTTGCCAGAGGAGGCTGTGAAGGCTAGGATTATAATAGAGTTTAAAGAGAAGCTAGATAATTTCATGGAGGTTAGGTCCATAAAAGGCTATTAGCCAGGGGATAAAATGGTGTCCTTGGCCTCTGTTTGTCAGAGACTGAAGAAGGATGGCAGGAGACAAATCGCTTGATCATTGTCTTCGGTCCACCCTCTCTGGGGCACCTGGTGCTGGCCACTGTCAGTAGACAGGATACTGGGCTAGATGGACCTTTGGTCTGACCCAGTACGGCCGTTCTTATGTAACCCTCCCCCAACTCTACTTATGGCCATTAGCAAGTAGCCAAAACCAAAAGGGGGCATCCAGTGGATGTCTCCATCACGAAGACGAGAGCCAATCAGAGGACGCTAGACCCCTCTCACTCTATCTCCATGTTCAGCAGCTCCAGGAAGGCGGTGAAAGTCCCCATCTGATATAACAGGAAGTTATTGTGCCGAGACCAGCGCAGGACCTCTGCTTCCATGTCACACTCTCCAAACACACCTGGGGAAGAAAGAGAGGCCCATGGAGCACGCTACGTGATCAGGCAGCTTTAAGGTGAAGTGAGTGCCGGTGAAAGGTACAGGCGGCAGGACGGGAGTATGGAAAACCTGTGTGGCAATAGTGCAACCTTCCTCCATCCCGACATGGAGGGACCGCTTATTGGAGCAAGAGGGAAACTTCAGCTCAGCTTCCCCTCCAACCACTGGCTTCTCTCCAGCATAGGAGCCAGCATGCTCAGGGTCTAACTGATCACATCTGTGAGGTCAAGAGGGAATATTTCTCTCCTCCAGTCAGATTGGGATTGACAGAGTTGGGGGGGAGGGGTCAGCTTTCTCTGCAATGGGAGACGTGGGTTGCCTACCAGCGTTGTGCAGGTAGAACTCGTTAAATCGATTCTCCTGCATGGGCCCAGTAGTTCTCTGCTTATGGCACTTCATAGCTCAGTCTCGTGAGGGCTGATTGGTTTGATTTCACTTTGTTGGGTTGGGTGCATGGGTGGTGGCTGGTGCTGGTGGCTTGTATGATGGGAAAGGTCAGACTACATGGTCTTGTCCCTTCCAAGCTTAAATTCTACAACTCTAATGGTGCCCAGCGGCCTTTGTAGCTGCCAACGCTCCAGGAGAAGATGCATCAAGAACCACGCCCCCCCATCTCACCCACCTCCACCCTCCCCAGATGGCTCTTTTTAAAAGAATCGCCCAAAAGCCAACGCCCCGTAAAAGAAGCAACGAAGGGCAAACACTTCAAGTTTCCATTTTGTCTAAGGCAGGTCATGATTCGGGAGGAGGGGAAGAGAAATTAACTCAGAAAGCGAGGGTCCCACACTGCCTAAAATCAGTTACCAGGCTGACCAGCGGGACATGAAAGCGGAGGAGGAACAGAAGAAAACACAGGGAGGAAGGGGAGACGGAGAAGCCAAGTGTGGGTGAATGGGAGATGGGAAAGCAGAGGAGGAACAGAAAAAAACACAGGGAGGAAGGGGAGATGGAGAAGCCAAGTGTGGGTGAATGGGAGATGCTTAGTGAGAACCAACTTACCTGGGCAACCCTGTAAATTGTGATCATAAAGCATCTCTTACGGGACTCTTCTCAATCAGACCAAGCACCTTGCAGGGGGTAACTTTAGTCTCTTTGGTGACCCAAGCTGGATTTATTCAAGCAACCTCCACGTTAGGCATTTCTAACGCCCCACCATGGCAGAACCCTGTCAGTACCTTTCAGCATCCAGATCTACAGAGTAAAGTCTTAAATTTCTCTTCGCAATCCCATGAACCATTCAGTCTCCAAAGAGATTCACTTCTTAGCCATTACATTAGCCCTGCTTCGGCATGTGCTACAGCTGCCGGTCAGCACCCACGTACGACAGAAATGCTTTACGGGCTTGTGTAAATGTAGATTCCACTGTTCGCATCCAGCAAAGGCAAAACCTAACCCATGTTAGCCTCCTACGCACTGAGACTATGTCTAGACTGCAGGCTTCTTTCGGAAGAGATTTTCTGGAAAAACGTCTTTCAAAAGAGAGCGTCTACCCAGCAAAAGCACAATGAAAAAGCGATGTGGTTTTTTGAAAAATAGCATCCACATTCATTGGACGCTATCTCACATTTAAGTTGTGGTTACTATGGACGGAGTGGCCACCAGGGCACCTGTGCTTTTTCATGCAGACCTCTTCTTTTGAAAATAAATAAATAAATACATAAAAACCTTTTCCCTGTCCACACACACCTTTTTCCAAAAGAGCTCTTTCGGAAAAAGACTTTTTCCTCGTAGAAAGAAGATTACCGCTGTCAGAAAAAAGCCCTGTGTTCTTTTGACTTTCGCAGTGTTCTTTCGACTTTCTGTGGAAAGAACACAATAGCAGTGGGGAGGTAAGTGTCGTTTTTCCGGAAAAACTCTGCCGTTTCGACATACCCCGAGTGTCCACGTGACCCTGCTATCCTGCACTCCGTTTCTTAGCGTGCTTTGATCTACTCCCATTTCAAAGCGGGGCCGAGCAAAGTACGCTCAGGAACTTTCTCGTCCACATGGATGCAGCGCGTGGAAATTGAGGGCGAGGCAGGTTTACACCCCAGCTTGCCTGGAACTAAGTGTTCATTGAAACAAACCCTTCGACAACGCAGGGCTAGGAGAGGTGACCCACCAAGCAGAGGGAGCAAATCATTCCTCCTTGCCTTCAGAGCGGCCACCAGGCACCCAACCTTTCCGAGTAAGCCAGCAGTGCAAATGCCACCCAAAGTGCAGCCATCGGCTGGACGTGGGCAGTTACCTTGTGCCAGATAAAGGACGGCTCGGGCTGCTTTCAGTCTCTTGTCCCTGTGGACCACCTCCAGCCCATCCAGCAAGTGCATCACGTAGGCCTTTTGCTGAGCCCGGTCCAGCTCCGGCCACCTCTTGCCCTGCACTGGAGAGGAAAGGCGAGAATGAGCCAGAATCTTGACCCGCCAGTTGTCCAGCCCCTTTTCCCCTTTTTCTGCTCCAGCCTCTCTTAAGTGCCGAGGGGATGAGTGTCAAAGCGGATGGAAGGAAGCCAAGAGGAACAGCGTCCAGGGTCACCGGCATGCCGGAGGAGGACCCAGACTTCTCTGCGTGCTAGACCAATTCTTAGCACCCGCCTTCCAACCGAGAACGATTTTCGGGAGGCCCATGGGCGGTCAGCGAAGGTAGGGCTGGAGGCTTGCCCTTCCGCTGGAGCCCCGCCCCACACAGGAGCCAAGCCGCCTCCCCCACCATGGGGAGGGGGGGCAGCACACTGTGTGCCCCCCACCACTGCAGGGAGAGGAGGAGTTTCCCTGCCCCCGGAGCAAGGGGAAGGGCAGGCACGGGGGCAGCAACACTCCATCCCCAGGACACCTACAGCAGCATTCTGGGGGCGGAGAGTGGGCGGGGCCAGGCTAGCAGTTTGGGAAAGCTGTGCCCTCCCCCGGCTAGCATACCGGCCGCCCATGGGGAGGCCCCACAGCTTGACTCAGGAGGAAAATCGGAACCCTGAGCCAGCCCAGACGCTGACTGCCACAACGTACGGATCCAACACTGCAAAGCTTATCGGCCCAATAAGCCCCTCTCCTATCTATGCAGACCTACAGTGGCCTGTTCACCCAGCTCAGGCCTCCTTGGGAGGCCAGGTTTGCAGGGCTGGGCCCTGTCTTGCCACGGATGGAGATACCTTGGCTTTGAAAGTCCTCTTCGAAGCACTTCCTGTTGATGGAGAACTCTGCTTCCTCCGTGTAGCTGTACAGTTCTGTTGGGGAAGAAAAACGTTTGAGAGCGGGGCTGAGCAGTGAGACACCGAGAGCCCCGCTTGACTGTGCTCCCAAATGGGCGACGCAGGGCCCATCGATTCATCTGAGTGCATGTGTGGGAAATGGATGCCTAAATTAAATAGTTTGGAGGGCGAGCAGCGTGACCTAGTGGTAAGCACTGGACTGAGACTCAAGAGACCTAGATTCTGCTCCTGGCCTGTGGATGACCTTAGGCATGTCATGGCTCTGCTCTGTGCCTCAGTTTCCCCATCTGGAACATGTGGATAATGATCCTGACCTTCTCTATAAAGCACGTTGAGATCCAGAGCTGAAAAGTGCTATATATAACAGCAAGGTGTTATTATTAATAGGTTTTTTCTGTCGCCATGGTACCCAAGTGCCTCACAAGAATTAATTAATGTACCCTAACCACACACCCCAGTGAGGTGGGAAAGCATTCTCCCCTTTTTACAGATGGGAAATGGAAAGACAGAAGGGTCCAGACAGACCAGTTCCTTAATAAGTCATGCATCCTTCCTCCCTCTGAGGCGTCCAAGTTTAAAAATTATGCTCACAGTGTAAATGGAAAAAATGCTGCCGAAGTGAGGATGAGACAAGGTGGGCCGGTTTCGACAGCTCTGACAGAACCTGGAAAATACTTTGTTCACTTGAATGCCACACTTTTAAATTGGGATCCATAATTATTGCTACGTTAAAATAATACGATACACATAAAGACCCACAATGTCTGTTGTCATTTGCTCCAGCCGCTTTTTAAGAAGCTAGCTGACTTAACACCATTTACGCCAGCTGCTTACTTTTTAGCATTTCACCATTTCTAGTCAATTTCCCTGTCACTAGCTCGTACGAATTGTGGTCAGTGCAGAAAATGTTCCCTTGGGATTATTTTTCAAGTTATTTCTGTTGCTATTGAACAAAAGGGGTGGCAAAAGTACAGGGAGAGGTACAAACAAGGATCAGATTCCCCCACTGTATGAGGTACTGAAACAGAGGCAATGTCACAACTGGGATGCGGGCCATCTGGCCTAGTGGGTAGGACTGTCAGGCCTAGTGGTTGGAGCAGAAGCAGGCCTCAGAAGTCAAGCTACGGGTCAGAGAGAGTTGGAAACCAAGAGTCGAGCCTACGGTCAGAGTCAGGAAACGGGAGTCTAGCCAGGAGCTAGAGCCAACATAGGCAACAAGAGCGGGTTCTGTTGTAGCATCAGGCTGGGTAATGCCAGATTGCAAAGACAGGTCCCCTTGTAATATAATAATAATAATAAAGATATATGGAGATACCATCTCATAGAGCTGGAAGGGACCTTGAAAGGTCATTGAGTCCAGTCCCCTGCCCTCACAGCAAGACCAAGTACCAGTCCTGACAGATCTGCCCCAGATCCCTAAATGGCCCCCCTCAAGAACTGAACTCACAACTTTGGGTTTAGCAGGCCAATGCTCAAACCACTGAGCTAGCCCTCCCCCCAGCTGGACTGCCACACAGCTATGATCACCTCCACTAGGAGAGTATCCTCAATGTCATGTACCTTGCAAGACACTGAATTCTGCGCACTGACTATTGCTGTTTAATAAAAATATGCTCAAAGAAAGAAAGTTCATCTTTATTTTTCTTCTACACACGGGGGTTGCTACTGGACTTCATACACAGTGGCAGGAAGCATGGCTGCAGACTATAAATCATGCTCAGGAAGCAATCATTACAAGGGTCATTCCAGGCAACAAGTATGCAGAGCCTGGCTGAATGCATGATCGAAAGACACACGACTGAGGCTCGTTGTGAAAATGCTGCTTCAAAGCCTCCCTAATTTGAATAGCCCCCCACTGAATCCCTCTGCCATCTCAAAATCAGCCACTAGGCAGCTACTTCAATGCTCTACCCTGGGGAAACTCCCCCTCACCTCTACCCCTCCTGGCCTCACAAATGTTGTGCAGAACACAGCAGGCTACTATGACCAGAGAATATTTTCCTCCTTCAGGGCGAAACCTGCCAGAAAGGCAGAGCAAGCGAGCTTCTAATCTGCCAACATACACACGATGAGCACATGGAAGGCACATAACTCTGTAGACTCAATACGATGCCAGTTTGCTGATTTCCACTTTGTTTTTTAAAAAAAGGTAGATTTTACAGAACCTGTATTCGGGGTCCAATTTCGGGGCTCCCCTCAGTTGCAAAGGCCACAAGGCTCCGTGGTCATGGCGCTGGTAAACAAACAAACTGGGATGGCCAGTTAATGTGTTTCTGAGAGTGATTCCGTGGAACACTGGTCTACATCAGCCCTGGCAGGTGTCTGTCTAACCTGCTCTTAAATATCTCCAGTGACGGAGATTCCACAACCCCCTTAGGCAATTTATTCCAGTGTTTCACCACTTTGACAGGCAGGATGTTTTTCCTGATGTCCAACCTAAACCTCCCTGGCTGCAATTTAAGCCCATTGCTTCTTGTCCTATCCTCAGAGGCCAAGGAGAACAATTTTTCTCCCTCCTCCTCGTGACATCCTTTTAGATACAGCTGTGAGAGGTTAAAGCGACTGGGACTTTTCAGTTTAGAAAAGAGGAGACTGAGGGGGGATATGATAGAGGTCTATAGAATCATGAGTGGTGTGGAGAGGGTGAATAAAGAAAAGTTATTCATTAGTTCCCATAATAGAAGAACTAGAGGACACCAAATGAAGTTAATGGCTAGCAGGCTTAAAACTAATAAAAGAAAGTTCTTCTTCACACAGCGTGTAGTCAACCTGTGGAACTCCTTGCCAGAGGAGGCTGTGAAGGCTAGGACTATAACAGAGTTTAAAGAGAAGCTAGATAATTTCACGGAGGTTAGGTCCATAAAAGGCTATTAGCCAGGGGATAGAAATGGTGTCCTTGGCCTCTGTCTGTCAGAGGCTGGAGAGGGATCGCAGGAGACAAATCGCTTGATCATTGTCTTCGGTCCACCCTCTCTGGGGCACCTGGTGCTGGCCACTGTGGACAGACAGGCTACTGGGCTAGAAGGACCTTTGGTCTGACCCAGTACGGCCGTTCTTATATTCTTATGTTCTGTCCCATGGGCAGTGGGTGGAGCCAGGCTGCAGCTCCAGCCCCGGGGAAGAGATGAAGCCAGAGCCAGGGCTGCATGGTGGCTGCCTGGCTGCTCCTGGGGCAGGCCATGTAGACCCACGCCACTGGTACATACCACCGGAGTCCCATTCCCTACCCTTTCCCACCACCCATTCCCCATCTGCCTGCTGGTAACGATGCCCTCCCCCTGACAACGCAGGTAGTCTGTGCAAGGAACCCAGGTGTTCCTTGCGCCCTTTACGCCGTTGTGCGGGCGCACCATGGCACTCTAAATTTAGCCCCCCTCCCACCCTTTTTAGTTTAATTTAAAAATACGTGACTCATGAGAAAGTGGGTATTATTATTACTTGCTGAAAAAACCTGAAAGCAAGCAACCAACACAAGTATCAACCATTCAGCACCCAGCTTCCTTCTGACCCAAAGGAAGGACCAGAACGTAACACTCAGGGGCTGTGTCTAGACTGGCCACTTTTTCTGGAAAAGCAGTTGCTTCCCAGCTGTCTACACTGGCCGCTTGAATTTCCACAAAAGCACTGAGGATCTCATGTAAGATTGTCAGTGTTTTTCCGGAAATACTATGCTGCTCCCGTTCGGGCAAAAGTCTTTTTCCGAAACCCTTTTGCGCAAAAGGGCCAGTGTAGACAGCAGAGATTTGTTTTCCGGAAAAAAGCCCCGATGGTGAAAATGGCGATTGGGGCTTTTTTGAGGAAAAGCGCGTCTAGATTGGCCACGGATGCTTTTCCGCAAAAGGTGCTTTTGTGGAAAAGTGTCCTGCCAATCTAGACGCTCTTTTCCGAAAATGCTTTTAATGGAAAGCTTTTCCATTAAAAGCATTTCTGGAAGATCATGCCAGTCTAGACGTAGCCAGGCTTTGTCTACACTGCAGGGTTTTTGCGCAAGAAGCCTTTTGCAGAAGAGATCTTCTGCAAAAACTTCTTGTGCAAAAGCGCATCCACACCTCAAAATCACATTGCAAAAGCGATGAGCTTTTGCACAAGAGAGCATCCACCCTGCATGGACACTCAGAATGGCCATCAGAGCACCTGTGTTTTCTGTGATAGGCTCTTTTTGCACAAGAAACCCCTGCTGAGCTTCCACACACACCTTTTTGCACAAGAGTTCTGGTGCAAAAAGGAGTTATTCCTCGTAGAAGGAGATCTACACTCCGCAAAAAGCCCTCTGTTCTGTCAATTGACTAGATCTTCTTGCGCAAAAACATGCTGGAGGTGTGGACGCTCCGTGGGTTTTTGCGCAAAAACCCTGTAGCACAGACATAGCCTTAAAGAAACAATCTTGTTTCCCTCCCGTTTGCTGGGCAGCACAGCTCCCTCAGTCCTTGCTCTGGCTGGATTGTACGGTTACAATCACTACCATTGAGTTTCATAGCTATTCCCAGAGCCCCGGTCTACACTGGGGAGTTATTTTGAGATAACAAGTGGAGCGTCCACACGACCAAGCCCGTTATTTCGGAATAAGGGGCCCGGCTATTTTAAATTACAACTCCCGCTTTCCATGAGGAATGACTCATTTTGAAATAGCGGCCGTGTGGACGTTCCGCTGCTGCTATTTCGAAATAACGACTCCCCAGAGTCCTTCAAAGTGATGACTCCCCAGGGCTTCCTGCGGCTCTAAGTCGAAGTAGCGCGTCCATATTCAGGGAGCCTGCCTAGGGCTCATTTCGAGGCTTCCCTGTAGCGTGGACGCGCTATTTTGAAGTACTTATTTCAGGAGTTGTTATTCCAAAATAATTTCCTAGTGTAGACATGCCCCTGCAAACTGATACCCTGAGGCGCATTGCATGTCACAGAGGGCACCTCTGACTTGGGTACGACTATTCGGGGGGAACATTACTCCGTGTGAGTAAGGAAATCCCACGTTGCTAAGGAGAGGGGGAGGCAGGAAGGAATCATAAGTGTTTACCCCG